TTTCTAACCTTTTCTACCCACGATATCCTCATCATCCGCCTATAACACCACATTTCGAACGCTTCTAACCTTTTCTTTTCCGCCGCTCCCACTGTCCATGTTTCGCACCCGTACAACGCCGTGCTCCAAACATACACCTTTAAAGATATTACAGATTTAAAATGCAGGGACGGTGGTACCGGCCGGGGGGGCCGGTTTGTATTGTCTAATGACAAAAAAGCTGTGAATGTTGTACATAAAGACATTCAGTAGTATATTAAGTATCACCCTTGCGAAGCTGGGGCGGGTCGCTAGTACTAAGTAAATGTCGTACTTGCGACTTCCATGATTTTTTTTTGCCACTTACGACATCTAGAATGTTATCACATAATCGCAATTTTTGCCTACAATAATTTTCTATTGTTTCAGAACTGTATGTAAAACGTGTACCACGAATCCTCCAAACAGCATGACCTCAAATGAGGGTGGACTGAACGCCCCCCTCTCACCGCCTGCCTTACCGTCTCCAGGCGGCAAACTTCCACTGTTAGATCCTGCAGACCGCCTACTGGGCAAGGGATCTCCTTTCTCACCTGCAACGGTAGATCCACAGCGGCATTCACAATCGGACGACGATTCGGGATGTGCCCTGGAAGAATACACCTGGGTACCTCCAGGCCTTAGGCCTGATCAGGTCAGTCCTTGGAACTTTTGCATTTTTTAATTCGTTTACAACTTATGTGTAGTGTCCATTCTACTAATCGTGAGTCAGGTAACATATGATACTTTTCACGGTGTAGCTACCTCTACGTCAGTGGTTCTTAATCTTTTTAGGGTCTGTTACCCTTATAACCTAACTAGGGTCACTGATTTTACCCCTCCTTTCAACGTTAAAGTCAAACAATACGTGTTAATACAAATACGTAGGCTTTATTAAACATAAAAACAATTGCACATAAAAAATTTAGATATTTTTACTCTAAATTACAGTTATAAGCTAGGAGTAAGTCGGCTAATTTCTAAAACTTATCCATGTCCATAGGAAAATATGTCAAAAATATACTAAATATTATATTGGCAATGTATTGCGAATTTTTATTACATCTAGTTAACACTTTCCAAAATTTGTTACTTATTTCAGTCACCTAGTATACAGGCCCATCCTTATTCGTGGATATTTAAATTCAGACAAATACATTATCGTTTTGAGACAGCAAATTATTCCTGCACTTCAAAGGCTTGATATCAATTTTAATGAAATTTGGTATCAAGAAGATGGTTGTATCGCTCATAATGCAATAACGGTTCGTACAACTTGTAACTATTTAGAAGTAACTCTCCATTTAATTATTCACATTAGTAGCTGGCCAGGTTCGATTAAATTGCACACTCTAGATTTATACCCAAATGATTTTTTCATTCGGGGATTCATCATCATACATATTAGAACACACTGGGATATTGTTTCGATTTGTGGTCTATTTGAAACCCTTATGAAGTAATTTTTAAGGATTTAACTTGTTATTATTTTTTATGAGAATTCTTGTCTATTTTCTTATATATACATCGTAAAGCCTTTCTACCAATAGGTGTAGGACAATGGTCTGCTGAAAACGTTAAACATTAATTCTGGTGATGATATTTGGTTCTNCTAGGAGTAAGCTAGGTAATTTCTAAAACTTAGAAAACATAAAATAAATTTATAAATTTTAGTGAGAAGGTTGATACTGCTTCGCATTTACAAGTTTGAGACGATTTCTAGCCTTCGTTTTTAGTGTCACCAAAGCTGAGAAACCACTCTCACACCTGTAAGTAGTAGCAAACGGTACCAACATTTTTATAGCTCTGTCTGCTATGATAGGATATTCAGCACCTACTTTTTTCCAAAATGTACATAGGTCATAATTTTGGAGATCGACTTTTAAAGTGCAATCCTCACGTGGTCCAAGAAATTCTACTGTATTCTACTGTATTCTTTTGCACCCAACTTCACATTTAAGCCGTATAATTTTTCTTGTGTGTGAAAAATTCCAATTAATTCTACGCAGTAGTTTTTGGTTGGTGCCCTTTTAAATATGGAGAGCGATAAGCAGCATTTTCGACATATCTTACTGTTTTACTACAGAAAGGGTTAAAATGCTGTTCAAGCCAGAAAGAAATTGACTGATGTTTATGGAGAAGGTGTGTTGACAGTACGCCAGTGCCAGAACTGGTTCGCTAAATTTCGATCCGGCAATTTTGATATCGAAAATGCACCAAGTTCCGGAAGGCCGGTTGAAGCTGATAAAGACGCGATAAAGGCATTAGATGATGTGAACCGGCGAATAACAACACGTGAGATCGGATTCAAATTCAACAGTTTATGACCACTTGAAAGGCCTGGGATTATCCTCGAAGCTCGATGTATGGGTTCCCCATGTTCTCACAGAAAGGTGGGATTTTAAAGGAATCGTTTTTTTTGAGCTTTTACCGGATAACACAACGATTAATTCGGAAGTCTACTGTCATCAGCTGGACAAACTGAATGATGAACTTCAACAGAAAAGGTCAGAACTAATCATCAGGAAAGGTGTAGTGTTTCACCAAGACAACGCGAGACCTCACACAAGTTTGGTCACTCGCCAAAAGCTTTTACAGCTTGAATGGGATACAATGCTACACCCACCATATTCTCCAGACCTGGCACCATCGGATTATTATTTGTTCCGGTCACTCCAAAATTTTTTAGACGATAAAACCTTCCCCTCAAATGAGGAGGTCAAAAACCTCCTCGATCAATTTTTTGCCAGCAAAGACCAAAAATTTTATGAGCGTGGAATTATGCTACTACCAGAAAGATGGCAAAAGGTGTTGGACCAGAACGGTCAATATATAATTTAATAAAGTATTTGTTTATTATACGAAAACTGTCTTTCATTTCCACAAAAAAAAAACGAAATGACTTTCCGAACAACCCTACAGTTATTGTTCATACGTTTGTTTGTTTATTTTAAAACAACCTCTTGAAGAAATGTCCTCTCCTTATTGAATAGACTATAAAATACAAAGTTGCGGCCAAGGATGTGGAGAACTTGACCGTCATTTTTAACAAACTACTCACGATTGTTATTTACATCGGAACTGTGTTATGTGGGAATAATTGTTATGAAGCAAATTTACATTAAATGAAGGCACGATTCGCTGCTTGCAGTCTCGCGTTACACCTGAAAACGTTCAACGAGAATGAGGGAAGGATACCTCCTCGCACATAATGCAATGCATCCATATAACACTTGACCTACCTTTGCCCCATTAAATTATCATTAATTAAGCAGTTTTCAAGCACTCTTGGAGCTTCTTCGTGGGAGATTTCACGAGACTTGTGGAAAAATTCCTGAAAGAAAGCAAATTAATAATAATTTACGACTTAAGTACAAGGAATTTATTAAACATTGAATGAAATTTGCACGTATAATTAGGGAAAAATTAATTTCAACTGATTTTTAAATAGAATCTCCCGAGATAAAAATCTGAGTCTCTGAAAGCGAGACTCGAGTCTCCGTCTCTCATCAAGTGTCGCTGAGAGAGACTGTCAAAAAAACTGTTTAGCGTCTCTGAACGAGAGACTCGAGTCGCTCATAGAGAGATCCTCATTTCGTATCTAGTCTCAGAACGAGAGATTCGAATAAGTGGTGTCTCGATAGACATGCTTAAAAAAAGTTCAACATATTTCAGAGATCCCAGTCTTTGTAAAAGAGACTCGAGTCTCTCAATTTTTCAGTTTTATTCATTCAGTCTCTATATGAGAGTCTCGAATCTCTGAATTGACAATTTTATGGTTCGGTCTCTCATACGGAGGCTGTGAGAGATCCATAAAAACACCTAGACAATAACTGAGAGACTGTGAAAGACTGTGAGAGACGCTCTCAGAGGCGCTGAAAGACTCTGGGAGACTGAGAGACTGAAGAGAGACTGAAAAATTAACTACTAATTTACTTTAACTCAAATCTAGACTTACAACCATAGATTTTATTCATAATGCCGCAAACTACCGTTTCATAAAGTTCGAAGGTATCAACCGGAAGTAAAGCTTCTTTTGGCGCTTTGAGACTAAAAGTTTAAAGAAGGACGTAAATTGCGTACGCAGTGTGCAACTATCAGCTGTAGTCGAAAGCGTTCTTTAAATAATTACATAATTATTATTATTTATTTATCTACTGTTAGTTAGAAATCACTTCGATCAGTTTACTTTCAAGTCATATAATAAACGTTTCACACTTATACAAATGAATTAACCTGTACTTTTGACACTTTAAAACAATCTCAAACATAAAATTGTTACAATCGGAACAACTCATACGTATTTGAGAATGAATGAAACATTTTACATTTCGTTCGTGTTGTCTTTTCCTACCGTAACGTTATGATCCTTATTCAATTATGTAGTGGGTTAATATACGTAATACAGGGTCAGTGGAGGCGTAGCGTGGATTGGCACCCGGGGCGGTTTTCTATTGGGCACCCCCAAAATAAAAGATCAAATACTAAAAGTGCTAACGTGATTTTATTGTGCTGAAATTTCGATTATATTAACAAAATTTACTTCCTTACCTTGTTTTTTACGTTCGAAATATTCAAATTATTGATTCGAACTTTTTGTACAATTGTAACACATATATAACTCGAAGGACAATAGAAACGCCGAGTTTTTATTCTACTTTATTATAAATATTGATTTTTATTAATGTATTATGAAAATAACTAAAGTCTAGTTACTCTCAGCGAGTCTACAAAAGAACTGTTCTATCAAACTTAAAATTTTGTACACTAGATTCCGAAATCGACAAATTATCCCTCCCAATAACGAGGTTATTGACGGTAATATCAATGCACAATATACTAACCATGGGATAAACTCTCATTTGTGCTTCTGCGAATTTGCCTACGTGACCGTAGATTTCGGAAATATATTTAAGTCCAATAACAATAAGCTTTACACAAAGATATAATAAAATATGAAAATTTTATGCCATAAAGTCCCTGCGTCGGCATATCACAAATAAGGTTCCTTAACATACCTTGTCAAGTAGGATTTTATCAACTTTAATTTTGAGGAACTTCTTTCACAGGAAGCTGCCGAAACACAAATAGTTAAATAAAAAAATATATTTCACACAGCGCTAAACTCGGAAAATATTCGGGATAGTAGCGGTCGGCCCCAGGGCTCTCATCTAGGTCCCCTGTTTTCCTTATTCTACATAAATGATCTCAATCAACACAGTATTTTTTTAATTAATTTTTCCCACTCACCCGTCCATATTTTCCTGGACTAATGTGCATTTAGTTGCAGTTAAACAACGTGGGGACGCGATAAAAAAAAAATTCAACTTGACCGTGGTAGGTACAAGAAATAAGCATACGTTCAGATTAGGCTCATGTTTTTAACCGTGATCAACACGTGCAACAACTAGACTAATGTGCACCGTTGCAATGGTCGCAAAAGGCAATGTATGCATTATAGTTTGTTTAAATACATACGTATACATATACCCATATGTCTGTTGTATACACCTTGTATGTAGTACGTAGGTACATGGATGTTGCGGTACTAATTGAGTAGAGATAGCGATTGACGGCAGTGCTGCTGGGTGGCCAAGCTTTCAAAATGATAATTAACAAAACGGTGACTTCGGCACTTGGCCAAATTAACAAGTT